CCCCTGAGGAGTCGGCCAGTAGCCAAAGGGAGGAGGAAGGCAGCTCACCTCACCCAAGTGCAGACCAAGAGAGCAGCTCCTCACCAGGAGGTGGGAGGGGGCTCAAGCCAAAGTCCCTGAATTAGAGAAAGAAGGGGGGAGGGGCGAGGCCCCTGGGGGAGAGGGGCGGCTGGCCCAAAGAGCTTCAAAGAAATGAGGAGCAGTAACCTCCCCTCCTCAGGGGCCCCACCTAAGTGCCATTTATCTAAGCACCCCCAACTCGAGCCCAGGGCCTGTCTGCCTGCCTGCCCGCCCGCCCAGGGTCTGATTAGTGCATTCGGTGGGAGCAGGGAAGAGGTGTTAGAGAGAGCTCAGGAGACGATGGCAAACAGGGTCCTAAAGGGGCGGGGGCTCTGGGATACACTCACGCACACCTCCTTCTCCACCACCCCCCCGCCCAGATGCAGCAGCATCTGGATTATAGCTAATACTGCAGGGTGTGAGGGGGGTGGGGCACTGGAACCACCGTTTTCCTGTGTGGGTGCCAAGGTGGCCAGGGGCAGGGGGAGAGGGCCCCCGGAGCTGGGCACTTGAAAGGGGAGCTGTGCGGGTGGCAGGGCAGGCTGGAGAGGGGCCAGCTGGCATCCAGCATGAGAGGTAGATGGAACTCAGCGGGCACAAGTGGCAGAGAGCACAGGGGGTACTGGGCTGGGGGGACAGTGCCAAAGGGGCACAGAGGAGGGGCGGGGCAAGGGTGACCAGGACCCTGTTGTGGTAACTCACAGCTGATCAGTAGCCCTGCCGTTGGGGATTTTAGGGGAGGTGTTTCCCTCTGATCTGGGGGAGGGCGGGCAACTCTCAAAGTGCATGGGGGTAGAAGAGGGGTGGTCCACCCCTCTGGCCAGCCTTGGTTAATAACTTAATATCATCGCTCTCTCTTTCTCTAGCGCTCTCTCTCTCTCTTTTTTTTGTCTTTTTCTGTCTAGTTTTTCTTCATTTATCTTCTTTCCCCCTTGCCTGGTTTCCAAAGTGCAGTTAGAATAACTATATAAAATTTAACCTCCAGGGGAGGAGCCACGCCAAGGCTTTCTTTGTACCCAGGCACCCAGGGTGGTAGAGAAGCCCACAGCCTGGAGGGGGACCACAGGCCAAAAAACCGGGGGGGGGGCTCTCTCTTGCATGTGTGTAGGGGGTGAGTTGAGGATATTGCCCCAATCATCCCCCACCCCCCCCACCCCCGTGTGTCACTCCTTCCCCTAAGGTCAAGATGGCTTGTCCCCACCTAGTGCTTCCTCTCTTTCCCTAACTCCTAAGAGGACGGGGTCCTAAGAACTGTGGGCCATGGCCCCCTGCCCGCCCCTGTGCCCACACTGTCCTTTTGATAGCAAGTTCATTTGTTTGCCCTGTCCCAGGGCTAGAGGGTCTGCGGAGGGACCCGGGCAGTGTGGGGGTGTATGGGGGAGCTGAATCTATCCGAGGACACGAGAGGAAGGAGAGAAGAGGTGTGGGGGGGTCTCCCTCAGCCCCCTGCTCGGCCCCTTCTCTCCAGGCTCCTCCCCACCAGCTCCGCACACCCTCTGGCCGCCTGAGGCTTTAGACTTCCTGATCCTCAAAGACCTCCAGGAAGAGTGGGGGGAAGAGTTCGGTGGGGCACTCGACTTTCATGTGGAGGAAGCGGCTGGCGTGGCAGGCCCCGATCATGCGGAGGTCAGTCACCTTCATCAGCAGCTTGGGCCAGAAGTGCGGAATGTTGTGTTTGCGGTGGTTGACGTAGTGCTCGAACGCCAGCAGGTAGGCTTCCTGACTCTTCTCGATCTTGTCCACACACAGCAGGCCAGAGCGGTCTGCGGGGGGAGGGTGAGGGGAAGGGCATGAGGGAGGGCGAGTGGCCAGGGACCCGGGCGACCAGGGGCTGAGACACGGGAGGGGGGAATGAGGCCTGGGGAGAGGTAGAGGAGAGACAGGAGCAAAGATGCCAGGGAGTAGAGCAGAGCGGGCAGGGAGGGAAAGATATGAGGGTGGGTGGGCCCAGGGGGCACCCAGGCTACAGGTCCCAGAGCTCTCCCAGTGGCAGGGTGGGGGTGGGCGAGGCAGGTACCTGTAGACATTAGCAGCACAGCCTGCAGCAGAGCCACTTCTGTGTCATCCAGGTTAAAGGCAGAGAGGGACTTGCCCAGTTCAAAGATGGCATCAGAGACCACACCCAGGCCGCCGTTCTTGAGCTGCTCGCGCTTGACAGCCATCTCCCCGCTCAGCGTCAGAGTGTCGCTCTCAGGGTCGTAGCGGACAGCCGCCCGCAGGGACATGATCTCCATGCAGCACCCCTTCAGGAGGATGATCTGGTCTTCGCAAGGCAGCTGCAGAGCGGCAGGGCCACAGGAGTGCTCAGTGCCCCCGCCCAGGTCCCGGGGCTCCCCTGGGGGCCAGCCGGGCCACCACCGGCGCCAGCCATTAACACGCACTCTGAACATCTAACCCGCAGGGGCGCAGATCCACTGTGACCTCTGAGGGGTGCCCTCGAGCCAGTTCTGAGCCCATCATCATGCCCAGGGTGCAGGTGGGGCGCAGTCTGGGGTGTTAGGGAGCATGGCCACAGTCACACAGACAGGAGAGCTGCTGCTACGGCTGTTGGGTCCATTCTGAATCCTGGAGACCCTACATGTCCAAGGGGCTGCAAGGGTGCGTGTGGCCTTTTGGAAGCGGCTCGCCAGGCCTGTCTTCCAAGGTGTCTCCTGATGGATTTGAACCACCCACCTGTAGGCTGGATGTCAAGCGCATAACCATTTGCACCATCCTGGGAGCCTGTTCCCAAGTTAGTGCTCTTTAAAACAAGGAGCTGTTTAAGGCTGCTTCGAGATGTGATAAGGAGCCCTGGTGGCATTGTGGTCACATGCTGGCCGCTAACCCAAAGGTCAGCAGTTTGAAACCACGCGTGGCTCCCAGGGAGAAAGAAGAGGCTTTCTGCTCCCATAAAGAGTTACGGTGTCGGGAACTCACAGGGCCAGTTCTACCCTGTCTGTCCTCTAGGGTGGCTGTAAGTCCACGATCGATGGCAGTGAGTTTGGATTTGGTTTTAGCTCTGAGCGATGTGCCAAGGAGCCCTGGGTGGTGTCGTGGTTATGCGTTGATCTGCTAACAGTTCAAAACCACAAGGCCTTTTATTCCTGTAGAGTGAGTCTTTGAAACCTGCCAGGGCAGTTCTACGCTGTCCTAAGGGGTTACTGAGTTGTCGGAAGGGACCGGATGGCAGTGAGGTTGGTGTAGGGATCAGCTGGCCCAGGGGGTGTCTGTGTTTGGGTGGGTGGGTGGGTGTGTGAACCTCCAGGGAGTTCTTCCTGCCTCAAGAGCCTCAGGTGAGCATCTGCTGGGCCGGCCTGGCCGAGGGGGCAGCCCCCTGCTCTCGCTCCGTGTGTCTTCTCCCCTCTGCCACTCACCTCAGAGAACATGGGTAGTTTTTTGGCAAAGTCCACCACACGGGTGATGGCCGGGGTGATGATCTTGGTAAACTCGCTGAAGGCCTCTAGGTCCACCTTGTCTCCGTCCGGCATTGAGACGATGGGGGACTGGCCAATGTCATCCGGCTAGAGGGAGAGAGAGGGGGGTCAGCTGGGGCTGCAGACCCCCGTCCAGCCTCCCACTGAGCCTCCCTGCCCACCAGGGGGCGCTCCAAGGCAGACAGGGGAAGAAAGGCTGCCGGGCTGTGGGCACTGTGGAATCTCAGCCCTGAGGTTTTTCCTCCTCCGCCGCCGGCCTTCGGGACAAGGACAAGACCAGGGCAGCTCCAGGGCAGCTAATACTAACAATGCGGATAACAGTCGCAGGAGCCATGATTATAATAAACCATGATAACACAGCGGCCATCTCTACTGCATAGGTAGCACGTGGCTCGGCCGCAGGTGAGCTATGTTTTACATGTAGGATCTCACTCAATCCTCGCCTAGAAAGAAGAGACGATGGTCATGGTGTCACAGATGAGGACATGGAATGCACAGGACGACAGTAAGCCCCAGGTCCCTTACCCGGTCAGTGGCAGAACCAGGCTGAGAACCCAAGCGACCAGATTCTTGCCTCTTACGCCCTTTGGTATCAGAGCTCCTGCTCTGTGGGTGTGCACTGGCTCCCAGAGACCGGGTCCCTCCTCCTGCCCTCCCTCGGCAAGTCTAAACCAACTTCTCCCAAGCTAACCACACCCTTGGCGCCTGCTTTGGCCAGGGTCTGACCCAGTGTCAGGAGCCCCGTGGCGTCGTGGATTCAGCAGCTGCTCTGCAGGAGAAAGCGGAGACTGTCTGCTCCTAAGGAGGGACGGCCTCGGAAGCCCATGGGGGCAGTTCTACTCTGTCCTGTGGGGTTGCCAGGGGTCGGAATCGACTCGGTGGCGGCGTGTTGTGTTCACACAGCATCTGGCACCCAGTGGGGGACGCGGCAGCCCTCTGCATGACCTTGTCCGCACCTCTTCTGTCCAGCCTCTGTGGGCTGGAACAGGGGAAGGCTGTCCCTGCTCACTGGAGGACGGGAAGGCTCTGTCCTCTCGGAACTCCCTATCAGATGGGGGAGGCGGGACCCAGAGAGCAGCCACCTATACACCAAACTGAAAAGCCAAACTCACTGCTGTGGGTTTACGGTTCACGGGAGACCTGCCTGGCGGGTGTCTGAGACTGTAACGCTCTGCTGGAGTAGACCACGTTCCCTTTCTGCTGGTGGTTCCCAACTGCCGACCTTATGGCTCGCAGCCCAGTGTGGAACCACCAGGCTACCAGGGTTCCTGAATCCTGCCTCTTGCAGAAAGTCTTCTTCGTGTAAGACCAAGCGGATATTCTCCTTACTGTGGAGACCTGCTTGTGTCTGTTACAGGACCCCTGCTCTGTGGGTGTGCACTGGCTTCCAGAGACGGGGCCCTCCTCCTGCCCTCCCTCTGCAGGTCTAAACCAACCGGCCCTCCCTCCACACTCCTCTCCTCACCAGGAATTTCCGCCTCTGCTTCCAGTGGCTGCCCTGCGCGTTAGTGCTGCGATGGGCCTCCGTGGCGACGTGGATCAGGTCCCACTCCTCGGGAGTGGGCTCTGGCCGCTGCTGCAGTGAGCGGATCATCTCCTCCTTCCGCCGCCTCTCCCGGTTCTGCTCGATCAGCTTGCGCTTGGCCACCCGCTTTGAGTCATCTAGAACCACTGTCAATGGAGACAGGATGCCCTCTGCGTGGCACTCCCCACCCAGGACCCCGCTGTCCTGCTGTGCACCACCCTCTCCAAAGCGACCCCATGAGGTGGGGAGGCCAGTGAGGTTCAGTGACTTCCCCAAGGCACCTAGCCGTTGAGGGGTACAAGCTGGATCATCACCCATCACTGGGCCACAGCTTGACTTCTGATTCGGGCCGGTTCAGAAGAGAGAACCTTTTGTGGCTACGCTCGGGGTCAAACAGGGAATGGCAAGAGGAGGAGCCATACAGTGCCCAGAAGATGAAACAGATGGATGACAGCTAGGGGGTTACTAGCCAGCCCTGCTCCCTGCCCATAAGTTCTGCAGCGGGCGCCCTTCGCAAGAGTCAGGGAGACTGTGCTCAAGAGTTCTTGCCATCCAATATCGAACTCTCCAAGGCACCCTGGGTGCAGGTGGGTACTGGGGCTCCCAGAGGAGCTCTCTCTTTCCTGGTCCCCCAGGGTGGGGATCTCTGGACACTCTACCATCAGCCTGGCCTGCATTGGGTGGGGTGGGGGGCGCTGGCTGCCATCCCTGGGCCCACCTCGCTCCCAGCCACCGGGCCCCTCCCCGCCCAGTCCCTTACAGTCCATAGCCATGCCCACAGCGATGCACTTCCGGAAGCGGCACAGCTGGCACTGGTTGCGGGTGATCTTGTCGATGACACAGCAGCTGTCATATTTGCAGGAGTAGGTGGGGTGGAGGTTCTTCTGAATTGTGCGGCGAAAGAAGCCCTGGGGGCGGGGTGGGGGAGACCGTGGGTTAGGATCCTGGTGGCCCTTTCCTGAATCAGCCATGCAGGTTCCTGGCGGGGGGAGGGAGGCTGGGGAGGACAGGGGGCAAGGTGGCAACGTCCAGAGCTGGCAAGACCAGGATCCCTGGGCTCTGGCAGGCCGAAGCATCTCAGGAAGGGTGTCCTCAGCCCTCGGCCCTAAGCCTGTGGCTGATGGTGGCGGCACAGGTAAGAGTGAATGGAGACTGCAGTGGGGAGATCCAGACCTGGGCGGCCTACAAGGTGCCTCGAGGTCTGAAGGCATGGGTTCTCAGGAAACCCAGCGGCGACCTGACTTCCCAGCTGGCTAAAACGGCCCTAAAGACAACCGGGCCTGCGCCCATTCCTCCCACCCCGTCTGTGGCCAGTTTCCCTGCAGAGGGCACTCATGAAGTAGGGAGCCCAAAAGAAGTTATGAAAAGATGTTGGCCCTGAACCCTCGTCACTTTAAAAGACACATTTCTCTTCTCCAACCGTGTGAGAGGGTTAGTCCTTGCTTGAAGGGAGAAGCCCAGGAATCAGCTGAGGCGGAGGAAGGCCAAGAGCTAATACTCCATTGCCTGCTTGCTCGGCCCCAAGATTTGCCACCCAACAAGGAGGGAACTGTTACTGCCCCCTCTCCTCATGACAGGCTCAGAAACGGAAGCTTCGAGAAATGAAGCAACTTGCCAAAAATCGCCTGGCTTGACCCGACCCCGGCAGGCAGCAGAGGCAGAGCTGGGCCTCCGCTACAGGACAGAGATGAAATCACCTACGGCCAGGACCCAAACTGCAGAGTGCAGGGCCCCTCAGAGGCTCCAAGACGCTCCCTGGGCAGTCAGATGTCCCTGAGTGGGAGGATCCTCCTGCTCCCTGCGCACCGCCCCTTCCTTCCAGGAACGCTGCCACTAACCCACTGGTTCCTGCAAAGGCTCACATTTTTAGGAAGGTGGGGTGGGGGGGGGCCCTGGAAAAGTCCCGCCAAATCCGATTCTACCTGCCCAAATCTGACTGTCCTTTCTGCCTGGGAAGAACCTGCCAGCCTCATCTCCTTTGGCTCAGCTCACTCTTTGGGGTATATCAGAAGCACTGGGGAGCCCAATCTAGGCCACACCACTAGAGGGTCTGGTGTAGGTTGGGATGAAGCCTGGGCAGATGCTGCACCCTCGGACTGGATACCGGCTCAGGCAGACTGGCTGGGGGCGGGCATCTCTCGCCGAGCTATGCATGTGAACGATCCTATTCCACCCCGCATGCCTCTCTGTGGCAGGGAGGATGGTGATGGCAATTCAACAAGCTGAGGCTCAGAGAGGCCAAGCACTTCACCTGGGAGCGGCACAGCAGGGATTAGGCAGGAGGGTGCACTCACAGCAGGATGGATGCGTGAGCGGGAGGAGAGGCAGGCTGTGGTTCTGCCTTTACTGGGCTGGTCTGTTGGGCCAGGTGTTGAGGGCCTCAAAGGGACTGGGGGCTCAGGTGGAAGTGGGGGCGAGGGAGCCCGCTGGTCCATACCTTGCAGCCTTCACAAGTGATGCAGCGGTAGTGATAACCGGTTGCCTTGTCCCCGCACACGACACACTGCTCGTCTTTGTCCAGGTAGCTAGGGATATACCCTGGGAGGGAGGCAGGCAGGCAGGCATGGCTTGGGGCACCAGCAGGAAGGATCCTAGACCTTCCCATTGCCCAACCTTTCCTTTCTGGCCCTGCCCTCACCCAGCCTCCCTGGAGGGGCTCTTGGTCTGCAATTAGAATCCTGGAGCCGCATCAGCTGTCCGTCATCTGATCTAGTCCCTGTCTGCTGGAGGCCAATGCCACTGTTGGCCTTCAGAGGCTGGCGATGATGCTGGTTCTTGGTTTTAGAGGAATACGGAGCCTCTCGGTGTGTCTGCCTGTCCAATCTGGGCTCCTCTCTTGCTGTCTGGCTTCCCCGGGAGCAGGCAGGGCAGGGGGAAGCAAGTAGCGGGGACTCCTCTCAAAAGAATGTAGCCCATGGTTCTTCAGTCGGGTCCCCAAGTCTGCTGGGGGCTTCAGCAAGGGGTTATGGGAGAAGGGAAAAGCTCTTCTTGACCTAATCCCACCCTGGAAAGCAGGTTCATGCCCCACGTCAGCCCGTCTGCCCCTGGAATATGTCTCCCCAGCCTTCTACGAGGTGCCCCACAGGAGCTGGGGGGGGTGACCCCCAAAGGGGCCCAGCCTGGCTCACCTGACATGCTGGTTTTCAGGGGACATTGGCCATTCTTTCTTTTTCGCTTTCCATCGGGGGACCTGGCACTGGATGGGGACACAGTGAGTGGAATCATTGAGCAGTCCTTGGGCAACTCTTTTGTCACCCACGGAGAAGCTCATACAACCCCGAGACCCAACTCCCTCTGCCAGCATCCTCCCTCCACCTCCCACCTCCAGGTCAGCTGACAATGCTGAGAAGGGTCCTGCTATCTGGAAGCTGCAGGGGACCAAGATAAGGGCCTAGGCTGGGGCACAAGCATGTTCTAGGGCCCCAGCATGAGTATGTGTGTGCATGTGCGTGTGTGCACACACTCACACACCGGGACCCCTAAGCACCATACTATCTATAATCTTCAGGATATCCACATGTCAACCTTCAGAGACACACACACACACACACACACACACACACACACACGGTGAATATCCTCTGGACAAGCTTATAGCATATATATGCATATACACATGCATATAAGCACATTAACAAGTGTAAGTCACCATGCAGCCTTCTACCAGGATAAATCCATGTGTGCTAAAATAGGTGCCAGGATCAGCATATCTAGACCATGTTTAGGGCATTCTCAAATGAGTCCTACGTCCTACACAATCCTCTGGACAACCCCTGAAACCACCCTCCCCTAGGCCCCCAGGGTGAACAGACAGACGGCCTGGTGTCCAGGCCATGAATGAACCGGTGCTAAATCCGCCCAGTGACTGAAGCTACTTCGTGTCAGCTCCCAGCACTGAGACTCAAGACCAGGAGGCCAGGACAGCCTCCCAGAATCCTCCTGACCATGGTCACCATTTAAGAGCAGCAAAGGGCGGTCCCACTGAGCTCAAAGGCTTAGTTAGCAGCCTTCCTCCACGGAGGGCACATACATGTTACCTCACCCTGCACACACGGTTACATAACCCTTGTACACGGCTGAAGCAGCATTGTATAACCTCCCACACCCACCGTGGCATGTGGCATCGCGTAGGGCCCCACCTCCTGGAGCCCGACGCAGCTCCCAACACACTGACACAGTGACCTTGGCCAGGGTCACAGCCACAGAGCGCATGTGCTCCCTACGCCCTGGGGTTCGCAGGCTGCTTCCCACAAGGCTGGGGGCTGGGGGTCAGGCCCCTCTCCAGACACTGGGTGGCTGCGGGTGTGCAGGGGAACTGCGGCCCCACCTCGGTGTCCGTTGAGCTGGCGGCAAGATTATATCTGGGTGCAGTCCCAGCGACAGCCACAAGGGGGTGCCGAGCCGTGCGGGCGGGGGTGAGCGGGGAGGAGGGGCTGCAGGCCTGTGGGGACCCGGAACGGGCCTTCCCGCCTTTCCCCTGGCTGGGGAGGTGAGAGACTGGAGTCAGAGCCATGGCTAGATCTTCCTGTGCAGTCTGGCCCGGGGAGGGTGGGGTTTTGGGGGAGAGGGTACCTTTTGGGCCCCTGCTAATTTCAAGTCCCACCCACTTCCTTTACCCCCCTAGGGACCCAGTCTTGGGCCCCAGGGCTTTGCCTGGCCGAGCCTCCAGCCCTCCTGGCTCAGAGCTGGTCTCCTAGGCAACAGCCACACTGCTCCCCGAGCACCCCTCCCCCACCCCCTTCTCTGGCCATAGGCACAGGCTGTACCCAGCTCTCTGGGGCACGGTGCCAACTGGGACAGAGCGCTGTGCCACTTGGTGTCGATGGGAGAGGCCGAGACCCTCCGAGCTCCTGGAGGACAATGGGGCGCAGAGGCGACCCGTCCCCAGTGAGGTGTGCAGGGCCCATGCCTGCCCCACGTGTGGGCACCACCTCCGTGACTGGCATGTGCTCTCTTCCTGGGAGGAGCTGCGCCACAGTGCCTGCCCTTGCCCGTGAACAAGGAAGAGTTTGTGGTGCTCCCAATCGGTTCCAAACATGCTGGTGAGCTGTGACCAATGGCTCCTGGGGGGTGGGCCCTGCGATGCCAGCCGCACCGGGGCCTAGGAGCAGCACACTTGTGGTCAGAGGGTGGGTGGGCTGGCAGGGGGCTGAAGGAAGGTGGGTTGCAGAAGCTCAGGTGAGGGAGCAGTGGTGGAGGGGACACTGCGGTGGAGCCCTGTCCCCAGGCCTGAATAGCTGCTCCCATGGCACCGGGCATATGATATGGGCATCGCTCAACCCAGGTGCCTACTTTCCTGCCATGTCTGAACATGACCTCATTGCGGCAAGGCCGCCCCCCACAGGTGCTTCACAGGCCCAAGCCCAGCGTCCTCAGGAAAGCCCTAGGCCCCACCAGATGACCATGCCCGCCTCCTGGGCCCGTTACCTGTTCTCCTCTGGGTCCGACCCACACTCCAGCTTGCTTGGCTTCTGTTCCATTCACTTCAATCCCATCCAGGATGCACTCCAGCACGCCAAGAGACTGGGGTGGGCACACGGGGCCCCCCCGGCACACCCACAGGCCACCCACCCCCACCACCCGGGCCCTAGGGCACAGCACCCATGGTGCCCACCTAAGCACTTGGCCTTCACACCATGCCCTGCGCCCCAAGGGGGGGCGGGCAGTGGGAGGGGCCAGGGAGGGGCAGGGAGAGCTGGGGGCAAGTTGGATCTATGGGGAGGGTGGGGTGTCCTAGACTGGGGCTGGGGGGTGGGTGATAGGTCCGCAGTCTTGTCCTGTCCTGGAGTCCCTGCAGAGAGAAGAGAGAGGGAGGGGTCAGAAGGCATGGGGTAGAGGACTCTTGTGGCAGCAATTTGACTGTTGGGGTCTGGAACAAGCTGCTGAAGGGCAAAGGTGGGCAGGCCCAGACAGCCTGGCGTGCACCCGTTGAGCAGGACCCGAATTAGCTCTTAGATCAGCAACGGAGCAGGCAAGATCTTAGACCTATATGCTTAACTCCAGAGATGGGGAGGGATGGAGGGGAAAATGAGGTAATGTGTGTACAGTGTAACACAGCTCAATCTTCACAGGCAACCAAGTGCCAGGCCCTTCATAAGTGTCAATGAACGCTAGCTATTAGTACCAGTCCTCTAGCCAAGCTTCCCTAAAACCTATCTGTGTTATAGGGACAGGAGGGGGCCAGGAAGGAGCCCTTTCAGCCTGGGCATGTGGAGTGCCAGGGAGGGGTGGGCGAGCGGGAGGACAGCCCACTGGAGTATGTTAAGGAGAGAGACGCCGATGGCAGCTGTGGGCTGACTACCCCTGCCGTGGGTGGTCAAGTTCCGACTCTTCAGCCTTGGCCCCCAAAAGACTTCCAGGGTTTCGGGGTTCTGAGAACCAGACCTTCCCAGTCCTGTTGGGATGGCAAGGAGATGGGGAAAGGTAAGGTTGCCTGGATAGAGAATATGCACCCCCCCCAGGTGGGCGTCGGACCCTCCTGAAGAGGAAACGGAGTCTCAGAAAGCTGGATCATTGACTTGAGTTGGTGGAGCTATGAGCAGGTGGCTCAGGGACCTAGCAGCCTGCTGGTGATGCTAGCCAGGTGCCGCTAGAGCCTAGGGCAGTGCCAACCTGGGCCACTCTTCTGACCGCACAGATCCTCGGGACCCAGGATGCAGACCTGGGGCTCTCCATCTGCTCACACATGGGCCCCTGACCCCAACCCCAATTCCAAGGACCTGATAAGGAGCCAGGGTGGGAGGAGAAAAGAGATAAGTCATGTGACTGGCCCAGGAAGGCCATTGGGGCAGGCCCTGTGTATTGGGGCAGGCCCTGGTAGAGGGGAAGAGGAGCCCGGGTATAGGGGAGAAGTACAGAAGGGGGCCCATTTGGCTTCTCACCGCCTGCCCCCCCACCTCAGGCCAGAACTGGGCACTGGGGGCTGGACAGGAGGCTGAGGGAGGGGGGCAGGCGGGGAGCCTCAGCCCAGGGAGCCTCAAGAAAGTAGGTCAAGTTTTTCTTGGCTTGTGGAGAAATTCCTGTTATAAATTTATAATGGCGTTGCCAGCCCTGAGGGGTGGAGGTGGGGGAAAAGGGGGAGTGGGTGGGGATGCCCAGGGGCTGAGCACTGGGCCCCGCAGTTCTCAGCCAGCACAGTGAGGAGCAGGGGGCTTGGCAGTCATGGAGGCCCTCCCGCCTGGACAAAAAGAAGGGCTGTTCTCTCAGGCGCCTGTTCCGACTTCCAGCTGAGCCTACCCAGCCTCATGGGCCACCGGATCGGGCTGCCCGCCTCTGAACGTCTCGGTCTCTCTGGCTCGGGGTGTCTCCCTGTCTCCCCCCAGGCCATGCCTCAGTGCTTGGCACACCCTGGCTGCAGTGCTGCCCCTGCCTGTCTCCTGCCCGCCTGGCATGCAGCCATCACTTGTTTACAGAAGCTGGAAAAATCCACTGGCCAGCTGGAGGCCCGGGCGCCCCCAGGGAGGGGAGGAGGCAGGCACAGGAGTGGGCAAGTAGAGAGGGGCAACGTTAGGGAGTAAGTCCAGGGGGCAGGCAGGCACGGAGGGCCACAGTGTGTGGGAATGGGCACCCGAAGCTGTAGGCCAGGCAGAGAACTCCACATGGCCTAGGCAGCTCCTGCCCCTGGGCCATACATAGCTCTGGAGGGCTCCCTCCCCCCCCCATGCACACACACAGCCCTGCCACCACCAGTTGCTACAGGACAGACCTGGGGTAGCGCCAACCAATACCCTGGTTATTATTCCTCTGCTCAAACCCCACCCCCCAGTCCAGCCTGAACTCCAAATGTGTTTGGGCATTGCTGAAGGCCTGCACGTGCCCGCAGTGGTGGGCATGAGCTCTCCCTTGGCCCCACCTCTGTGTGGAGCTGAACTGGGCCCTGAAGACAGTCTGGTGCAGCGCAGGCGATGACTGGGCCCTGGCAGTGGGCAGAGGAGCCAGGTGCTGCCCTTACTGCAAAGGGCATCCTCGCCTGGCACCTAGCAAGAAGCTGGAACCCCTGGGGTGCTCCTTGTCACCTCTTTAGGGACATACCTGGGCCTCTGAGGTGACACAGAGGCGAACAGAAGGCCCAGCATGTAGGGAGCTACAAGCCACATGAGCCTATTAGCTTTGGGCAGAGAAAAGGTCAGTCAGGAAGAGGGCTGGGGCAGGAATACCACTAGCTTGAGG